TGTTGCCAGCGTCGCAGCCCTCGCCAACGCCCTGTCTCTAGCAGCTGCCCTCGCACTTCATCCTCACCACTCCTCGCTGCAGCTGGGTCGCACTCTTTCCCGTAGCCCTTGACTTTCGGCCGGTGTTCATTGAACCCATTGCACCTCTCTTCGTCACCACCGAAAAGAACACGAAATCGAATAACGAATACCATAAGATCGGTTCTTTCAGTGGCAAGAGTCCCTTCCCCGGAATATTGGCGGCCATTTATTACAAAATTGATTCTAAGCTCCTAGTACAATTATTGCCAAATTATAAGTGATAACTAGGAGGTATTATACCGTACATTTATATAGCAGAACCGGTCATGCAAAACCAAAAGTCTCAATACATTGAACATAATCCATTCCATTGATCCATTTTTTTTGTATTGATGCAGGAATAAAAATTACATTTTGTCTCTTTACAAAAGAGGCGGACACAAATGGAAGGAAAAAAAGACTTGTAGATGAGAAGAAACGATGCATTTTTACACATTGTTGTCATTTTAATTATCAAAATATTAAATTTAATTACTTTCTATGTTATTTGCAACAAATGGCGCTATTTTACATATCATTTTTTTCAATTTTTCTCCAGTGGCGGCCTTCCTTCGAGGTTGGGCCCAAAGGCAGCTGTCGAGTTTGTTCAGACAGAAGTTCGCCGCTGCTTATAGGCTGTCATCGTCTTATCAAAATTCTGGCAGACGTAAAATTCACATTCTAAAGACCATTCAAAGGATTACTGTAGCAACGGTCTACGATATCAGGGATTGCGGAAGAACATGAAGATACCTCATGAAAGATCAAATTTCTAAGTTAGGTATATTTGCGTCACAAGTAGCACATTCAAGACGGTTCAAGTAATTACACTTTTAGCTATTGTAGAGAATAAGTTAACCAATTAAAGTAGTCGTTAAAAGATTCAAACTTCAGAAATATGGAAAGTAATTTTTTTAACATAATGACTTTAATAAATATCACGAGAGCAAAGTTTTGCAACTCTTCTAAAACCGATGCAAAAAAACTGTTATAATTTACAGAATTATGTACTAAGGAAATGTGCATTATATGATATTTGATGTAAGAAATTAATCCTTACTTCCGGCACGAGATGCTGAGGGAAATATTAAGCTCGTGCAAATTGAACCTGTTCATCAGGAAGTATCGCTGCTTTCGCTAAAGAGGTCTGAAACACCAGCTCACTCGTTCAATTTGCCTCCTTCAGCACCCAAATCAGTCCAAGGAATTCAAAAGAAAATGCCGGAGGACACAATTTGAAACAAAATACAATAACTTAGAAGCATGAAAAGATGAGAACAATGAATGGACAGGTCACATATTGGCTCTCTCCAGTTTCTTAAACTTTCTCCAGCAAGAATAAAGTAACTACAGTAAATGTGTCCGTATTGTGAATAGCTCTTTAGCGTCATCCAAGAAAGTATTTTTGAAATCAAAGGTATCGTCTTGCGTGTCTTACCTTTCTTATAAACAAATGTACCCTAAGTGAAATATCTTGTTAAGTATGTTATATTATCTATTCCAGGGAACGAAAATCAATTTAACAGACTTAAGTCTTATTATTATGAAAATTGTACGTCAGGTAAAAACATTGCAATCTGACTGTGTAACAAGTCGCAAAAACAATTTAACAATGCTATTCTGAATGTTCAAAATTATTATTGGTGTCTGTGTCTATTATTGCCGTTTCACATTTTAAATACGTTATAATTACAAATATTTCACCCTTTAATTTCTCTTTAAATTTAATTGAATCAAAACTTTTTCTTCTTTTTCTGCTCATATATTCAAACACAACTCAAGTGGGACGACTCATTTGCTTGTGATAACGACTGAGAATCTTTAAAAAACAGAACTTTATTCAATATTAAAAGTAGGAGTAGCATCTACACGTCGAGTTGAAAACGGCCACAAATACCAACACGTGGACCACTTTAACCTCTCCTTTTACATGAAATCGATGTTATCAATTTTGCATATGGATTGACAAAAATAATACTTTAAATTATAATAGAACTCTTCACTTGATTCATTTTATTTTAAGTATCACTTTTAATAATCGGTTAGAAATTCAACCTGCCTAACAAAAACTCTTAAAGTAATTTTAATGCTGTTGTAAATTCCGAACTTTATTAATGAACATAAAGTAATGTATGAACGTGCAACAGTTTATAGTTTATGTCTTCAAAGTGTAATTACTATCTTTCGCTCTTCAAGAAGCATAGTACTTTAATAGCAGAAACTAAGTTGTGCATACTCGTAAGGCAAATGATTGTCAACTCCCATTGTATTACAGAAGAGATTTCATTTACGAAGAGAGACAGGCTGATGACCACCTCGCATAACGGGAACGTAGTTTAATGCAAGCCGTGTTAGTGTGACGGTCTAATGAGGTACGACAATATTATTGTATGAATGTAGTAGTATTACTAGGCAATGTGATGGAAGTATTACCCGAGATGTACGACATTTAAATGTTTCTTCAAGTATTGTACAAGTATTGTACTTCAATTTCTGAGTCAATGACCCCCATCTCGATCAGGTTTTCGTCCAGTTTCCCTGATCCTCGAGAAAATGCTGAGATGGCCCTTGCTTTGCTTCTGGACATAAATATAACTTCAAATTAACTTCTCCCCATAGCACGTCATACAGAGTTTTTAACTGTTTTGGCGTAAATAAATGATATATTATTGTTGTCAATTTTTGTTACTAGCTGTCTTGTTTGAATGAGCGGGGCTCTACAGCTGACCATAGAACCCACCACGAGTAACGTCGGTTAATAGAAATGTAGAATAATAAAACCTCCTAAAATAATGGAGTCCATTCTATACAGCAATTTCTATCCAACAGTATTCGGTAAAAAAAGGTCTTCGTTTGAATATATGGGTAAAGTGATTCATTCATAAATGGTGGCGGCTCCTCATGTCTTTACCAGCCCCCCCCCCTTCGCGGCTTGTCGCCGCGGGCCTGAGATGTATGAAGAGGGGAGAAAGCTCTGTCGCGCCGGCCGGAACCAAGGCCGCCACGCACACAGTGAAAGTGGTCGAGAACGGTCATCGCCGTCGAATTTGGTGAGTGCCTAATGGCAGGTTCTGTACCGTTGATGTTTCCCAAGGAAAGGAAAATTCATGTCTTGGCTGAGGCACATCGACTCTTGACAGCATGACTGACAGATGTCTGGGGTTCAGATCTCAACATTGGAATCGGTTGTCGTTTCTATTCTTCTGAAGATTGTCTAATCTCAAAAATTAATTTTATATAAAAATTTCACAAAAATTAATTTTAACATAATTGTGTGCTATGTGTTGAGGTAATCGCGAAGGAAATTTGATATATTTATCAAATCTCACCATGCTTCAGGAACTATGTATCAGTCACAATTACAGTCACAATATGCGAAAATACAAAATAAGATTAAACAAGTGCATCCTGCAAATACACATATTTTCTCGCATTATTTACAGTTTTTTTGAAATTTTTATAAGTGTTTATTGGCAGAGTTTCGCTCAAAGCCAGAATTGCCACTGTCTCTACAGCAACTCTGACTATGGGATTTTAGGCTTCGAGTCCCGATATGTCATCAAACCGGTTATCGACTCTATGTATATATCGACTCTAAAGATAGCTAGGCCAGGATGTCAGAGAGCTATTAGGGGATTAGAGCTTGCTCCAGCTGCGGCAGTTGTCTACTGGGGGAGATACCTGGAAAGGAAAGCCCCTGCAAGCCAACGTGTAGGTCGGCGCTGGATGTCATAACTCAATGAGGTAGGAACACCGCCCCCTTCAGCGATAAAACATTCAAACTAATGAGACCAATTGCCGTAGCAGTTGACGTGTCCGGAAAGAATGAATCAAAAGTTCAAAGATACGTCTTTCGCTCTTCCGAGAAAAAGTTAAAGAAACAATTTGGAGCTGCTTTGAGAAAAAATTATTTTACTTCAATCAAAAATTACATGAAACCTTTTTCAAAAAATTATACATGACATATTTAAAGACCTATTTTTTAAAACTTATTTCATTACGAGAAAAACCTCTAAAATCAATATTTAAATTTTGCAATGTTTTTTTCAGTTTCCCAAAATACAAAGAGTTTACCAAAATTTAAACTTGTATTTTTTCATAAGCATACTTTGCTCTATTGTACAAAATATAAAAGAAAAACTAGTGCTTGCAGAACAACGTAATTATTCTATTTTTTTAAAATTTTTGAAAATTCAGAGAGTTCAATGAAAATGAAACCCACGTCATTCCTTTCTATACGAGGAAAATAGTTTTAAAAAATTGGAGTGATTTTTGGTAAATGTTTCTTTTTTTATAAATTGCTTTAATTTGAAGCAAAATTTACGTAAAATCGGCTCACTTCTGCAAAAACTGTGTGCGACTTTGTTTAAAGACTGATATTTTCGAGAAATTGAACATTCAAGATCTGTCTTTAAAGAACATGTCATTGATAAAGTCTCTTCATTCAATATAACAGTTGTAGGCGATGCCCAAAAAATTTCACTTTCAACTTTCGAAAAATCTGGGATTTCAACGAACAGGAGACGTGCACCATTCTCTTGAGCGTCCTTAAATCTATCCGAAGAAAAAGTTCCTAAAAATAAATTGAAGTTTTATTAAACCAACAGGTTTTGATTTGAGTATGGATGAATGAGCGTGATTATGTCAGTGTTGTGAGAAAATAGTTAAGTGATAGAAATCCACAGTATCAGGATTTTCTTACAAGATAAAGAAAGAGCCAGCAACACACTGATTGTCTGATTGGACAACAGGTAAAATCGAACCGCTGTAAATGTTATCATTTTGATAACATATTGCGAAAGTATGGGGAAAAATAATGCTTAACCAAACTTAGTCATTATCTTATGAGGGCAGTATTCCAAGTTGGATATGGAAAGGGGTTGGATATGGAAATGGTATATTGCTTTAGAGCAAATAATTAGAAATGATTACATTCATAGTTTTTTTATTATATAAAGTATTTTATCGACATAATTATCAAGAAACAATTCTCTAAATATGTTATATAGAGTAACAAATATGGAATATTCAATATGAATACTAACAACAACAATGTCTCATACAATACGTCAGTATCAAGTCAGGTCTCTATAAAGACCTTTGCGAAGTTTAAATCCTCTGATAAACTCGTTATTAAATCTATGAGAAAACGTATATTATGAAATTATGAAATATAATAAATAAATAAATAAAAATCAATTAATAAATAATCCGTTCTCATACAATATTATCTATCCATGAAAAATATATGAAAACAATTTCACGTTTCCATATCGAGTCCACCATCCAGACTGAATAGTAAATGACATTATTCATTAACACTTGACCCCATTAGATAACCAACATGGACCACATGTTCGAATCGTATGATTGAAATCTCTTTATCCCACGCCATCGAGGACATTTACGTCCATTTTGAGTATTTGAAGATATAGTTATCGCACCTGAACCTTAAGAATTGTGTGTAGGTCAATTTGCAGATAAGTGCGCACAATATCGATTCTCTAATTGGGTCATCTCCACCAAAAAGATATCAATCCTGATTTTAAGCCATGTCTACATTTGAATTTCTCTCTGGCATCTAGCGTCCTCTCAATTCCTTTCAAACAGTGAAACGAGCCTTCGTTTTGTGAACAATGACATTGACCAACAATTTAAAGTAAATAACTAATAATAAATAACTAAACAAGAAGGAAAAGGAACGGACGATGCATTCTAGCTGCGTGGAGACACTCGCAGCCAGATGCCGCCCTTGGGGCTGGTGACGATGGTCCGGGGCTCAATAGTGAGCGGAATACTCGTTCGCTCGCACACATGGAACTGGTAGCGGGAGACGAGGGCGGCAAGTCCTACTTTGGCTTGCAACAGGCCGAAGCGCATCCCTGCAACACAAAAAAGGAGCATTTCTTAACTTCAGTTGCACTCGGCAATACCTGATAATTCTGACGGAAACAAGGAGCAGAGCGCAAAGGTTCTAGGTATTCTGCTTTGCGGCATCGTCATGTTCTTGCGAGTGAGGAAATAAACCCTTTCAACCCAACAGGAGGATGTGGCTGATCCACCTGGTCCTCATTAAATCCCACTCTCCATGCGTCAGCGGCTACATATATTCGCACGGCCGTTGCGGACCCTAAAACCTAACAATATCGACATGGGAATAGATATGGATTTCATGTCTTCTCTTGCCCTAACAAAATTGATTTAATTAACACATTTTGTAACATACGTAATATCTCAGAAATTCTGGGCATTTGTTTTGAAATCATTTTGATTTCAAAAATTCCATGTGTTTTTTTTTTCACTATCACATCAATGAAGCCCCTATATTTTTTAAGAGTAAATATGAACATTCATTCCACTTTCATCGTAGTGAAAAGTGATTTCAGAATTTGATTGACCACAAAGCTAACATATGTGTTTGATAAAAAAGCAAATATTTGTCCCATTATTTCAATCTTGTAAACATGAAGGTGGTACTTTGACTAACACACAGAATTGTAATTAAATCTTCTTTGGTAACCGAATGGAAATGGAGATAAAGAGAATGTTGGACATTGGACTCAAATTTTGGCCTTCAGACAACTCCATTCATGAATTGATTTGAGTATTAGTAACAATATCATGTTATTGTGAATTAGTAATGCTGATAAGTTTCTCGGTTTTGCAACGGTATGAATAATCAAGTCGTGATTTTATCGTGTCTGAAAGTGGATCGTGTCAAGTGGGAACAACTTGAGATACTTGAGAATTGCACACAACTAGACGCTTATATGTTTATCTCTTTCTCACAGCTTAAATTAATAAGTAAATCTGACAGAGAAAGAATTTTGTTCCATAAAAATGATGGGAAATGAAATCGCACAGATACAAGTAATCTTCAGAAAATGACAAGTTATTACGTTTCTCTTAAAGTGTGTTTTCATCTAAACGTCTTCGATGTGTTGTTATTCGCGAGCAAATAAAACTACACATAAGTCATTGTTTTCGCGTCACTTACTAGACTTTTACAAGTAAAATTCTGGACAAACAAGAGGTTCTGAATGTTAATTACGCCACATGCAGTGCAGTACATCTGGGCGATAAATAGAATCTGAAAGCATGATCTACACTTTGACTGATCTCTTCGCAACCACTCGAAAGAACGTCTCAAGAAATAATCTCCCTGATAGCACCATCACAAGAAAATGATGATCAAGAACTCCCTTTTAACCCATGCGAGAACCTTTCGCTGACTAGGAAGCATTTGCATTTCATATCCGAGCAAAGAAAAAAAAAACGTATCGGTCCAGTCGCCAATAGCTTTCTTTCCTTGAAGCACCACACGCGGCCTGCCGAAGGGGCCAGACTCGCGAAATCCGTTCAGTGGCGAGATCGTTCTCGGCGGCGGTAATGGTGGCGGGTGGCGTTGGAGGCGGTAGTGGCGTTGAAGCGGTGGCCGGGGTGGCAATGATGGTGGTGGTGCCGGCGGTAACGCCGGAAGTGACGGGAGTGGTGGCGGCGGTTTTGCTGGTAGCGGAGGTGGCAGCTGTGGTGTCGTTGGTGGCGGTGGCGGCTTCGGCAGCGGTGGCGGCGGCAGTGTGGGCGGTGGCGGTGGCGATGGCGGGTGGTGGCGGACGGCGGCGACGGCGGCGCCAGGCGGCGGCGGCGGCGGCGGCGGCAGTGGGGGCGGTGGTCGTGCCAGCCCCGGGGCACCTTTCTCTCGCCGTCGCTTCTCGGCCGTCGCGTCGCGGTTACTGTTTCCTGCGTTGCGCAACTTAACCGTGACGCGAAGACCGCGCCGGGAAATACTTTCGTAGCCCCAATCCAATTCGCAGGCGTTTTTTAATTTTCTTTTTTCCCTCTTCGGAAGTGTTTGGTCTCTTCGACATATACTCGTTAGTTCGGGCGAATTTTTTATATTGATTTAACAGCTAGTTGATATTATTTACTTTAGCCATAAATTGATTATTTTGATAGTCAGCCAGAAATTAACGTCACTATTAAAAGTACGGTACATACGAAAAAATTGTAAACATTAATAGTTTTAAGATATGCTATCATAATTCTCAAAAAATAAATATTAATACGATTCTGAAGAGAATCGTCGTTGTGTGACGACAAAATAAGTTCAAAATTTTTGTATCTCCGATTGTATATATATTTTTTTTCGCAAACTGTTTCTCAGTGAGGAGTTATGTTTCGGGTAATTAGAATAAAAAAATACTTGTAGTTACGTTAATAATGTCATAGGAACAGAGTATAAAAGTTCAAGTTAGGTAACATGAGAGACATGTGTCCACTTCCTTATAGAGTGCAGATTGCGCTGAATCAGGGGGCAACGTTCTCCAAGATGCTTTCTAACCTTTCGCCTGGACGAGGATAAAATAGTTCCTGCAGATCGATATTTCCACAATCCACTCACAGAATATGTTTAGCAAACTTCAGTGCCGTTTGGGACGAAAATAATGAATCAGTTATACGATAGCTATTTCATTAGAACGGAAAATATTCGTAAGTTGTAACTTCTAAACTCGTGGCTATGATCTTTCGAATAGCACCAAAATCCTTTATCAAAATTCCATTATTTTGTTTTACACAAATCTGGGGGAGACTTTATATACTCATTGTATTAATTAGTTCGTATACGTCTTGAATTAACGTCCACAATTAGTTATATTGTTCGTTATTAGGGCAAAATATTTATAAATATTATGTATATATTATGGGAGGGGACCCCACCGACTTTTCGACCCTTCGTTCGACCCTTCGCCCAGTCCAAAAAAAGGGCTGTTTCGCCATTAACCTACGTCTTAGCCACACTCATCATTTCATATACCTAACAACGAAGCGTTGCTACCGACAAAGCTCAACAATGAGAATAAAGCACTCACCGATGCAGAGGCGCGGTCCCTCCCCGAAGGGCAGGTAGGTGAAGGGCGGGCGCTGGGCCTTCTGCTCCGGGCTGAAGCGCTCGGGGTCGAAGCGCTCGGGCTCCGGATAGTACTTGGCGTCGTGGTGCATGGCGTACACTGGCACCATCACGCGCAGCCCCTTCTCCAGCACCACCGACGACCCGGGGACAGCGTAGTCGCGCGTGCACTGCCGCACCAGCACGTGGCCCGGCGGGTACTTGCGCAGCGCCTCTGCAAGTGGAAGAGGGCGTCGCAATACGTTCGCAAAACGAAGGAAAGAAAAGCAAAACAGGGGCAGAAAAGAAAAGTAACAAAGAAGAAGGAAAGAAAAGTTAAAAAGAAAACAGAAAGAAAAATAAGTTCGAAAAAATAACATAATCCGTCATGTAATAAAAATATCTCATTGCTCGCACAAAACCTTTACGATAATATATGCCGTGGTAAGATATCGTATACTGATTTATTATTATTATTATTATTATTATTATTATTATTATTATTATTATTATTATTGTTGTTATAATTATTACTACACACAAGCGGAAGGAATTTGTCCCTTGTAATTACTTTGTGCAATATAGAATTCACATTCTTTATTTTTAAAATTGTGAAAGAATAAGAGTGATTTTATTTGAATAATGAAGAAAAATAAAGGCGGCTATTTCACGCGGATCATAATTCGCAATCTCCTCCATAACGAGCGAGATTTGTAAATGGTATTAATAGAAACGGTGATTTAAAGTTACGATCAATCCAAGTGTTGCTGATAAAATAAACATTCACAAACACTCGCAGAAATATTTGGCCGTCGGTAAGTTTCAGTGATTTCTATCAGGATAATAATTAAGATAAACAAATGTGAAGGGTTCTGATAAATCGGAGAACTCGGAAGCCTACACATGTTTTGCCGTGAACACTTATCGGTGTGAATTTCAAAGGAGTGCACCTTCTTTGCCGTCCGGTTCGGAATGATTCATAAGACCAAAATTTTGGAGAAAGTTCAGAAAAAATTTTCTTGCTCTTCCAGAGATTTCAAAAGGAATAATTCACTTGCCTTAAGTAATGAACTTCTCTTCGGCAGAATTTTCTAACATTCTCCCATATTTCTATTAAAATACAATGTGTATGTACTCGAAATAATTAACCTTCAATTTTGTTGTTGTTGTAAAGGCAATTTCTGAAGCTGATTACCCAGCATGCAAATAGTTCTCACCTGATAGAACTTTGTCCAGATAATCCATCTCCTGTACGGCGTCGTAAGTGAGTTTTCCCCCGCATTTCTCGTAAGTGGCGTCAACTTCTTCTCGCAGCTTTTCCTGGATATCAGGGTTCACCGCCAACTCATGCAGGGCGAAACTCATGGTAGTGGCAGAAGTTTCGAAACCAGCCAGGAAGAAAACAAAGGCCTGAGCGGCCAACAGGTTGTCAGTGAGCTCTGGAGGAGAGAAAGAAACATTTAATTATTCTACCTAGAAGATGCATTCTCGTAGAACGACTATGAACATTTGATCTGATAATATAGTACATATTTTTAATAAAATATTTAGCAACAAGCAAAGGGTTTAAATGTAATTAATATTAATAATTTATAAATTTTGTTCACGTTCGACTATAATTTGCAAAATATGTTTATTGTAAATTGCTTCTAGGGAGACTTACCTAGATCGTCGTCGTCACGAAGTTTTCCATTTTGAGTACCATGACCGTTGGTTAGTTTGCTGCCATTCTGCATGGCAAAGCCATTTTTCTGCGGAGTGTCGAAGAAATTGTTGTTGATCAGAGGATCGTATTCCTGTTCAATTTTTCCGTTCTTCATCTGAATAAGCAATTGCAAGAAATCGTTCCTCTTGACGTTGTTCTTCTCGCGGTATTCCACGGTGTCCTTCACCGCCTGAGTGAAGAAAGCGGTGGTGTCCTCGCTGACCATTCTCACTCGCAAAACCTTAGCAAGCGCCGGGATGAGTAGTCCCAGGAACCGGCGGATGTCGTTTATAACAGACGGATCAAACACTTTCTTGCCCATTTTACGGAACTCGGATTCACTCTCAGACATGCTGTTCAGTTGCAAGCCGAACGCGCAGGTGCCAATCACGTCAGTGGTAAACTTGGCCAAGACCTCTCGCAGCTCAACGCTTTGGCTCGCGTTAGCCACGTCGGCGAGATACATCTGCAGCTGCGAAGAGCACTCTTCCATGAGGTGGAACATCATCTTCATCTTGCCGGAAGTGAAGGTGGGGGTCATCTTGGTGCGCAGCTTGCGCCATTTGGAACCTCCGAGATTGAAAAGATGGGCGGAGAGGGGGTCCTTGTCCTCGTCGAAATTGTGACCTCGGTCCTGGAAATACAAAAAACTTGGTTAAAAATTCTCTACTAACCAATATTGAAATTTGGTTGAATTTTTCAAAGAATTATACCACCAAATTGAACGTGAGTGTTAAGTAAATCGCGTGTGGTTGCGCTAGTTTTTACTTGTTAGTTTATGTCAGAATTCAACAGATATGTTTTCTTGTAATGTAACCACACGGAAAACATGATATTCGAGTATACTCTCTTTCTCACCTGAAAGTGTCCGAAATCCTTGACTAGAACGTTCTTGACGAGTTCAGGATCGATCAAAAGCATAGACGGCGTTCGGGACATAAAAATCCCAGCGAATCGCTTGCCCTCGAAATGGCGGTAGAGACCGGTTAACACGTCCGCCATGGACTTCTTCAAGAGCGTTATCTCCCTCACATTTCCAAAGAAGGGTTCGGGCTGCAGGTATGGCACTCCTCGCTTCTTCCAGTAGTCGAAGTTAGAATTGAGATAGTAGCACAGGGCCGCCAGCGATATTGCTAGTGCGCCCAAGGCGTAGGTAAGCAGAGAAAGTACGACGTTCATGGCTTGGAAACTCGTATGAATCAGCTTTATCTGAAATAAAATAATAATAACAATAATAATAATAATAATAATAATAATAATAATAATAATACCAAAAACCAAGCAGAAAAGCAATATACACTGCACCTGAATTTTGGGGCGGAGTGAAGCTACGTTACAAGAGAACGAAAATGAAAATTTAGTGACAAAAAAGTATTCTAATGTAATAAGAATTCATTGCTATATACAAAATTCATAAATAAATAAAAACCTGTTTATTCAGAAAAATAATTGTTTTTTTGAAAATGTTTAATGTGCTCTAAACTAAACGGGCCTCGAAATATAAAATTGCGTGGTATGAATCCAGGAGGAATTACGAGAAGGCTAATCTAGACTAATTCAACCAATGAATTAAATAGTAACCACTTCCATTGCAACTGTAAACATATTTTCTAAATAACCATTTCTCTCCGCATGTGACAGAAATGCATGCCAAGGAAGAGATCCTCACCTGCAGAAGAGTGTGGTGGCTAGGCCTAAACTGTTGATCTTCTGGGTTCCGTTCCACACCTTATATGCAACACCTTATCGATTTCCCCAGCCGTTGGCACATCTGGAGGAGCGCTTATCGCAGAATTCGCTCATTCTCTGTCACCTTCTCCGCGGAACAAAGGTCGTCGGTACATCCTGTCCAAATCTGAGCATCGCACTTACTAAACGTAAGTGATCTTGGAACTTGCAATGTTATAACATATTTCACTGGACAAGGTCCACAGGAAGTGCGCGTTCGAAGATTCCCGAACTTTGATTTATCTTTCTGTACCGAGAATTAAATATCGGTCTGTAGAGGCGTTTCGAGATACTAAACATTGTTCAATATTTTATAAAAGTACCTTTCATATGCATTAAAAAGTTTTATGTGTTTGTATATTATCTACTTCATAACTTACGTAAAAGTTATGCTACTAGGTAAATTCAGTAAATTCTGGATGTATAATATAGAGTTTTCATTCATTCATGCATTTATTGAAATCTACGAGTTCATCATTATGTTTTCCTAAATGCAAAAGCGTTCACTACAATAGCAAACTAATTTGCGATGTAATAAATAAATTGATAAACGTTACAGAAAATCAAATCCCGGTATAATTATTGACATTTATGGTTATAACGATGCAATCAGATAATCACAAAAGTCCTGAGAAACACTAGAGTCCAATTTATTTGTAATTTGTTACTTGAACGGGGACATAACAATGGTACATTTGCCCATACATTTTAGAAGAATAAAAGTGCAGAAATAATTTAGAAGTATTTTCTTGGCAAGTTACAAAAATATTTCTATATTCGAGGTTAATCGTGCAAAAATTTCGCACATTTGTACACGTAAAGGATAATGAAATACTACAATTTTTTAACCTATATACGTTTTAAATGACGTGTTTGAGCAGGATCAGCTTTAACACAATAACTGATTTTTTGTAATATTTTTTGAACATTATTTTGAATCGACAGCAGTGACGCACCAATTTGGATTCTCTCTCTACCGCAAGGGCAGAAAACGTAACGGAAAACAGTATCGTGACCTCGACCGCCTCAACCGTCAAAGACCTCCAGAAGTCACTGTTAACACCATGCTTTCATGTACACAATTGAAAATTTAGAGTAGAGTAAATTTCTCTTAAACGCTAAGCTTGGAATAACACGCCTAAAATATCACATTTTGTAGATTATGGAATAGAAAAACCAAACCTATGTCTCTATACAACACGAAAATCTGGTTTTAAATCTCTAAAACTCATCGTATGCGAGTTTTGCATGATAGTAGTGTGCTGCGGCGTGTTGCTAATTGCATCTGCTCGCTGTGTATTATTTAATTTCATAAATTTGAAAACACATATTATAGTAAGCACGATAAAATTCTAGCTTTCTGCACTCCTTTTCCATATGAACTTCATATACACCAAATCAGACATTCTTTCTGCGCGTATTATGCGGGGCAAAATAATGTTTTCTCTTCACGTACTCTTATTGATGAAATGTGCGCGAAATTAAAAATTCGTAGCTTACAAAAAGTTCCAAAATGTACCGCACTAGTTTGTTTCCTGTTCTCTTCGGTTTTTAAAAGACCACTAGGACCTCTCGAGGTACCTACCGCTCCTCTGGGACGAAGAGTACCTTCGAATTCCCCGAACATGGCAGAGAACAACCTCGGCCCTGCACCCTCAAGGAATACTTTCCCTCAGTATTCCTCGCTCCCAATTGTTTTCGGTGTGGAATCCAATTCCTCAATATTAAACACACAGATTGCGCACGGTTGCCTGTCAAGCCTAGCAATTATGGAATGATAATGAGCAATTTTTCATTTTAAGCCGTGCAGACGACGTCATGGTTGCCGCATGAGTGAATTTACTGCGCGAAATTACATGGATTCTAGAATATACGTTTTGAATATTTTCTTCGTAATCTTATAGATTGATTAAAAAACTGATGAAAACATATTTTCATTTATTGTGGTAATTTACATCTAATAACTTCAATATATTTATATTTTAAAATTAAATTAATTCGTTCTTATTTTAATGTTTTAGAATATTGGTAAAAAATGAATTATTTCAGCAAATGTTGAAAAGAAATATCCATGTTTCCTAACACTAAACTAATACCCCCTACCCCTATGTGAAGCTCCCTCATAATCCCTCCCCCATTTGCGTTACGAAAGTAATGGAAGACCCCTAAGAGTTGTTTTGTTGAAAATTAGCAGTTTTCCTCTGCACAATTACAATTACACTCACGATGTTAGGGCGAGAAAATAAAGCCAGCGACAAAATGTTTACTGTGGAGTGTATTTCGCAAGACCTTGCATCACACAAGTATGCTCCTTTAAAAAAAATCGAAGGTGTTAAATTTGCGTGATGAACAATGCTACTAATCAGATTGCCCCGTTGATTTTTTTTTGTAGGTTCTATTAATTCTTTTGGGCGAAATGTGAAATGTAAATGTGAGCTTTATTCCCTCTGGGGGGTCATGTCCCTCTCGCCATGACGCACGTGACTTAACCTTTCTCCCGCCTAAATAAAGCTCTACTTCAAAAACCTTGTATAAATAAGTATTATTGTGAGGTGGTATTTGGTAATTTTAATCCTCGGTTATTGAGAACTTTATATCATATATCAGTGCGTCAAATACCCCTAAAATAATGATTCGAAATTCAAAAAACGGCAATATTTTAGTCGTGAAAAATATTACATTAAGTTACATCCCCTTAATATAATTGAATATTTCATGTTTGATGTGTAAGAATAATATTGCGGATGAGCTGCGTTGGTGAATTTGAGGGCAATGTGTTCCATACGAAACAGTATTAATTAATCAAGAATGGTTAAACTGAACTGAACGGCCTTCAAATGCAAAAAAATATTTTTGTAAAATCTTGAAATGCATATGGATCATTGGCATCGCTTTACTCAAAAGGAATAAAGAAATATCGCCAATGACCCAAGTGCGTTGTTTATTCAATTCTCAAATCGTCTTCCCTTGAGGTATCTATTTCAAAATACAAACTGCGTGTCGCAATGACATGTGAACTCTTATTAAATTAGGTAAATATTGAAAACATAGCGGAAGCCCATTCTTGAAGGAAGAAAAACATTTATAAATTTGTTCATTCATTTTAGTTGATATGTCCCAAAACACGTGTGAAAAATAACATTATTTTGCGTTTCCTGAAATATGATTACCTCTTTAACATGATACACATCCTCGATTTCTAAAAATTACTATATAGTAAAGTTAAACGAATTTATTTTTATTTCCATTACTTTTTTATTTTTCTATCAGCTAATATAAGCAAGAAGTTATTTTTATTTGGACATTGTTCCCTTAATTCCTTACAGGAAATGGCTTACTGAGTTTATCTTTCGATCTCTTGGAGTAGTTTCCTATCATCTGAACAAGAGATTTCCCAATGTGATTTTTTCGAAGAAAGATGCAGATCTAATGATAAAAGCGTATTGTGTTTTTAAGTTATTACATCTTGCCAAACAAAATTTTTCAGAGAAAGATGCAGATCTGTTGATAAAGTATTATTGTGTTTTAAAGCTATTGCATTGCCGACAATAGATTTTTGTGTTAAAGTTTGTTCTTGCTGCCTACACTGTTAGAAATGTTATTAAATGTAATGTAGATTAATGTATTGTACATGAAACGTAATGAAATATAGTATATTAAAAAGCTTAATATAATTGTACATTAAATTTAAAGCATAATTTAAAATCAGTGTAGATTTAATAAAGAGGTTCTCCCGTTTCCCGGCCTCTCCTCATTCATATTGTATATTCATAATCTCCAGTCCATCATCAAGATCATTAATTCATTCCTTCAAGATATGACCATGAAGTTTTGACTCTTACATTATAATGTACATGTGTACATTAAATTTACTGAGCGTTCACGATAAATTACTTTCATGTAGTTTACATTAAACGAATGGAAATATTTTTGACAGTGAACGATCATGAAATTGTGGGACAGCATAAGCTGCCAGTCTTTTTACAGGAATTTCCAGATTGGAGTGCTTTCCGAAAACACTCGAGTCGGGAGAGTCGTCTTCTAAAGAGGTCTACCTTCCTGTTATTTCAAAATCAAAACTTTCTTATCCTTTTTATAATAACATTTTTTTACAAAAGAAGTAAAATATAAATTAGGGGTTTCCTCTCGCTTGAGACAACTGTGCCTCTATAAACATTACCATCCCAGGTAGTAATTTCTAATTTCCCAGTAACCCTCAGATTATTACAATTATAATTACTATTATTATATTAAATTATAATTAATCATCATAATTATTCTCGTTAATATTTGCCCATTTACAAAAAACTTAACAATCTAAAGGTAGCAACGACCAAAAAACAATCTCAACCAAACCATACCCAAAATTAGAGGCTAATGTTAAGCTAATTAAATGCTCTATTCCCGAAATTTGGGTTCTTTTGGATTTTCCAAACACGTGGACGCTGCTAGCTTTAGTCTAAAACTAGCAGCACGCTCCT